GAATAACCATGAGTCAGCTTCATAAGATGAAGCATAAAATATTACTCTAGCGATGTGAATATCAACCCCAAATCTTAGAAATATTCAGATATCTGACTATCTCGTACCACAACTCACCATAAGAAATAAGTAATTGAAACAGCGGGCGGTTAGAATAGATATTAGTCTGGGTGCATGAACTGAAATTTTAAAGGGATTTTCACAGAAGTCGTTACTTTTAATTTGAGCCCCACTGTACAATTTTTGAAATTTTTATTATTGAAATTCCTGATATTTATCACATGAAAAACGCGGAACATTGCGTGACAACTCTATACCGCTATCAATCCAAAGTATTTTAAACTGGTATATGATCCGACCTATGTATTGCCGAAACTTGAAGTGCCAATAATTTCCTTTGACTCCTGTGGGGCGGCCGGCTCGGTCCGTTTGTCGGCGTGAGGGCTGCCAAGCCGTCGTTTGTCGCCCTAACAACACAAGTACATCCTAGGGACTTCCCAGGAATGTCCCTAATTTTATACTAGGACATCCCAGAGATATCCTTTGTCGGGACAGATTACATACTAGGGACGTCCCAGAGACATCAGCTGGCCGACAAAAAAAGCATCCAAGGGATTTCCGTCTGGTACGTCCCTGTTATGTACCAAGTACGAAGAAAGGATATCCCTAGGACGTTCCAAGGATATTCCAGGGACAGCGTAAGCGTAATATATCAATCAACGGTATAGGCGATCAGTACGATGGAATCCTTTATCGAAGAGTCGTTTCGATAGTGTTTAGTGAACTATTTCATCAGTGAGACTCTCTGAGTTTTTTTTCATACAGTAGTTATATCCACATGTGACACCATCAAATTCTGAATTCATTGTACGTTTCTGAGCATTTGCACTATACATCAGGGTGTCTGTAAAAGGTTGGGACATTGCTCGGCTGTGGACTCTTGGGATAAAAACAAGTTGATTTTGGCCAACTTACCTATATCCAAAATTGTCTCGTTGAGTTGGTACAAGGCGTTGAAGTTTTTTCGAAAAAAAAAATAATTTTGGTCATAACAAGAGTAGGCTGAGATCGATTTTCATAATTTTTGGCATGGCATGTTCTCTGACTGTCACGTTTCTAGATGTTTTTGAGTGACCTGCAACTGTTTCAAACAACCATGTTGCCGTACAAATTTTGTGATAACTTTTTAGAGATCGGACTGGAAACTTCCAGTTTTTTTTTTTCAGAAATATTTTTTGTATCGTGTTAATTTTTGATAAATCTCGAAGTTCATTTGCAAATAAATAATTTCTGATATAATGCATCTTACGCATTTTTGAAAATCAATCTAATTAGTTGGACTTTTTATTGATCATGGCTACAATGTATTCTCATTGTGAACAAACTGATATGTTGCTGGTCCTCGCGGGCTTTACAAGAACTCTCGCGTTACAAATTTAGCAATAACTATTCAGGACATATAAGGTGAGCACTTTATCGCCTTGTACCAACTCAACGAAACGATTCTGGTTATAGGTAAGTTGGCTATAATCAGCTTTTTTTCTCCCAGGAGTCTACAGTCAAGTCCCAAGCAGATTATTTTTCTGAAAAATGCATAAGAGGCCTCAGATCAGAAATTATTTATTTGCAAATGAACCTCGAGACTCATCAAAAATTAACACGATACAGAAAATATTCCTGAAGGGAATATCTTTCTGGAAAAAAACTTTATGTTTCCAGTCCGACCTCTGAAGAATAATCAGCAAATTTGTACGGCATCATGGTTGTTTGAAACACTTGCAGGTCACTAATGATGATCAAAAACATCTCACAACGTGACTTACAGTCACAGAACATATGCCATGCCAAAAATTATGAAAATCGATCCCAGCCTACTCTTTATTTATGAGCAAAATTATTTCTTTGCAAAAGCCTTGTACCAAATCAACGAGACGATTTTGGATAGAGGTAAGTTGGCCTAAATCAACTTGTTTTTATCCCAGGAGTCCACAGCCGAGCCATGTCCCAACTTTTTACAGACACCCTGTATATCATAGTTGATCAAGTTTAGTGATCTTCTGCAACATCTTATCATGATAAGAAGGACAGCCCAGTTTCAGATACGCTGATTAATACGTTATTTTGACACGAAGCGGTGTAAGACTATTAGCTAAAGACTCACTAATGAGCCCGAAGCGTTGGCATATTAGTGTTTTCTAACACACATGTGCTGGAAGCTGGAACGCTTATTTTTAGACGTGTGCATACCTAAGTACCTACAAACCAGAAGCCACCACTGGGTTTCGATAAAAGAAAGCCACTTTTATTTACTTGAATGAATGAATGTTTATCATAAATTAAAAAAATAAATACTCTTCAAAACTTCCCAGTAAACACAAATTGATCTCAGAGATGTCAGTACACTTCACATTCATGCTGATATCACACCCGTGATTCAATTTGTGAATTACACTGACATCTCCAGATCCTGTATTTAGGACCCTTTTGGTCATTTTTCGCTTCACATTTAGATGCTGAATGGGACAAAAAAGTTAGCTGAATGTGACTCCAGATTTCACGTTGAAATTAGACTCACATTGAGGTTACATTATAATCAGAATGTGAGGTCCAGAAGACCATCGACCATTTCTGGATGTGAGGTTCTTTTCGATTATTATACTGGTATCGTAGCGTCTTTGGAAGAATCATATTGTGCGTCCCAGAAATGCTATATATACACATTTATTGTTGATGTCTCAAGTGAAATCACATCTAGATTGATGAAGGTATTCAATGAGAGGACTAATCGACAACTAGATTTTATTGAAAATCAATCTCATTACACATCAGAATAGGTAAATACGTACCTACATGTTAAATTGAGCAAAACTACCTAGATATAACAATGATTGAAATTGGAAAAACAGCGCAGGCCTAGCCTTTATCGAATAATTATACAGGGTATAAATCTCCATGAGTTAACGCGATCTATATATATATGGAGAAATAAAAGTATCACGATTCTGAAAAATTGTAGGGACTGTGAAAGAAACATGTACGAATCTTAACATAAGTCATATTGTGCGCTACATTCATGAGTATGTGAGTGCACTGAGATTTCCAAGTATTGTTGGATATTACTTTCATAAATGAATTTCCTTGAGATGTGAGAGGGATTCACAAATTGAAGCATATTTTAGTTTTTTCATTCTGCACAATGTGAATCAGTTTGTCGTTTCAAATAGTCTTTGTGAAGTTAATGGGCTTCATAAATACTATATCCATATTGATCATTCCAGAATTACGTCATTTGACAGGTTGCTGAGGGGCAAACATTGTATTTTGTCAAGATTTGTCATATAAAACCAGAATTAGTGGGATCGTTTTCCTTGGAATCCGAGTTCGAACCAGAAAGAATTTCATAATTTTGTTTGTTGAAACTGTTTTCATATCGTGGATGGGGCAGGGATGGCCAGGGCTATGCCCATCAAAGGTAACCTAACAGATAGTTTGTGTGCCCCTCAAGAAACCATGTCAAAATCACGTGTTCTAGAATGATCAATTGGTCTCAGATCCAACAGAGAATGTGATGAAATTTGCGAACAATCTGTCACACAAGGAATTCCTTGTAGATATCAGCGATGCAATATTGTGATTCGCTTTCGTGACATCAACTGCCATGAATGCGACATCTCATAGATGTTTGTGATAACTGGGTTTGAATTATGTCAGAATTTTGGAAATTACAATATTTTAGTATTTTTTTTTTAATTTAAAGGTGTTCCTTCCCGGGCTTTGGTAATACCATAGATCTAATTACACATTACATCTATGGTAATACACAACAGGGCCAAATACGGCGGTTTCTCCTGTCTCTCCGAATTTTATGGAAAAATGAACATTTCATTTTGATTTCTACCAAATTGATATCCTCAATTCATTACAAGGATAAAAGGCTCTTATGAAGTCAATAAAACCTCAATAATTTATTGCTTACCTCCATCTCGCTCCAACTACAGTGAGTAGTATGTAGAGATAGTCACTGTAGCCGTTACCACCGATACAAACAGAACCCGTCAATGTAGTATAGAGTCAACAATGAACTAAATATAGTAAATATCTATGTAAATACCTCAATCATAGATTAACGACTCCTGAGACTCGTCATCGTCCACCATCTACTAGTGGGAGGAGAAAATATAAAAACTATCCTGTTGGGAAGACTGTAAAAACTGTAAATTGAAGGAATCTTCCAATAGTTATCAATAAAACAGTAGTTCAGAGATGGCGCTCGAAATATTAATTAATTTCTAGAATTCTACACAATTACTAAAGAGCCCTTCTTACTCCTTCTTATTTAAATTTATGGTGATGGAATCATGATCTAGTTGGCGTTTGAAAAATATGTGAGATCCTGTATTATCATCTGAGTTACTAGAAAACATTACGAGTGCCTGCAAACAGTCCACACACTACATCCAATATTCTGACTCCCTAAATTTCTGAATATTCGCGATAGAAAGAAAATAACACGTCGCTTGAAAGATTGACCAATAATCACGAACAAAAGACAAAAGTGAACAGACCGCTCTGACAGCTTTAAAAAACTCCGATACGCATTACGCATACGCTTATTTTCTATCGCGCATTCATTCTACGATCAAGGTCTATTCAGGCAGAGTTCGAGTAGTTTTTCGAATTGTAAATTTTTCAGGATGAAGGTTCATTTAAGTTAGGTTGAATTGTTTAGAAGAAGTAGTCTCATTTTTTCATGCAGAAGGGATATTTACCTTCCTTTTATGGGTTTATTTCATATTTGCTTCTACCCACTCCATCATAAATCAGCCTTATATTGATGGTACACAGTCATGCGATGGAAGCCAGAACATTCAATATAGCGTGTGTGAACTGTCTGCAGGCGCTAGTGCAATGAGTGCAATATACATGTTATTCTCTTGTTCCATCTGTTCCATGTCTAGTTGGAAGTTTAAAGTCAGTAATGTCAATGGTCAATGTCAGTTTTTTCATTTTCAGTTTAGATTTCAGCTGGTTTCGCGTTTAGTGAAGTTGAAAAACAGTGAAAAGAAAAATATTTTTAGTAAAGTAATAAATTGCAATGAAATGTCGTTCCGAGGAAAAGTTTTAGGATTTGTTGAAGTGATTTTTAGAATACCACCATTATTTGTGATCGACGAGATTTTAAAAATAGGAATCCTTGGGATAACAGAATTGTCTGAACATGACTTGTCAGATATTGGAGGAAAATATGTAAAATTTGAAAATGTCCTCAGCAATGTCACAACAAATAGCGAGCCCTATTATGATCCCATGGTTTATAGATTAATCCTAATGTCTGTTGTTAGACTATTAGTCAGCACTCTAGGTTTGTATATTTAATTGTAGATACACTTACCTGTTTTCAGGATAAAATTCGATTTTTTGCCTTCAATTTCAATTACAGCTCACCTTGAGTCCTTCTAGTTTATATATTAATAGATTTCCACATTTTATATAAATATCTAGTAGAGATGCACTTTATTTTGTGATATCCAAGTGCCTATAATGACTGAATTGAATGTACCTAGTGCCACATATAAAATTTTCTGAATGATGAAGGAAACTGAACTATCTTCAGTGTCTTGATTAGGTGTTCACTGAAGTGAATATTCACATATTCATGTTCAGAATACTTGGATGTCATTTTCATTTATCATTTAATTGGAGCAACATCACCATGACATTTTATTCTTAGATGTATCTGAAACTTCAATGGGTTATCTCATTGATGTAATTCCTAAAGTTGTGAATTATTATTTCATATTGCATATTGCCATTCATCATCCTGGCTATCTATTATTTTCATCAACACCCACTCACTTATTATTGCAAATAAATTGTCCTAATACTGCTAATGATTATAAATGTATGCAAGCCTGATCTCATCATCATTGGTAAGAGTTTAACTGAATATCTTATGACAAACAAAGCAACAAAATTTGACTATCAAAGGATTTGGCCAGAATTTGAGCAGCAATTGATACATTCTCAATAGACAATGGGAAATTTTGATTACTTGATTGATTAGGGTCTTGATTAAGGTTGAATATTTGTAGACTGAGTTCAACATGAGTGTGTATCTTGGAGGAGAAAAAAGTCCTATATTCAAACATCACCAAGTCTATTTTTATTGTATGTAAATTCTATATTGGAAGGTGTAAGCTTAATAGTTTTTTGAACTACATTATTATAATTTGGGTTTAATGACTTCATTGAAAAATAATCTCTTCTTGAGACCATTACCATCATTTCAAATAAATTTCAAAGCACAGCAAAACAACAAAAATACATTTTAAAATAGTCTTTTGGTACAATCTTGACATGAAGAATATTTTTTCCATTTCGAGTTTTACAAATATAAGGTCAATTTCAATGCACCAGCTCATGCTTAATTTTTCAAAGGGGAGAACACAAATGTTTGGAAATGAATGGCAATACTTGGGGCATTATAGGCATTATCAGCACTATTGGAAAATGATCCACACCTCGATCCACACTAAATGGCAATGGTCCGCATTGAAGAAGAAATACAGATAGGCAGGGTTGTCAAATATCATGATATTTATATATATATGTATCAAAATATCATATCGGATATATATCCGATATATATATCAGAAATTTCGATTTTGTTCCTAGGCTGAAATGCAAAAAAAAACAAAATATAAAATACCTTTATTTTGGTAAAAACTAAAATCAAACTTCAGTTTAATTTGAAATAACAAAAAACGAAACTAAAAATAATATTTTTACTAAAATATGTGATATAAAAAACTTGTCGTTTGATGAATTTTCATCATTTGACGAGATCCAGTCCAAGCTTTTGGCTTTTTTATCTGTATTTTGGTTTAAACATTTAAAAATAAATACTAGCTGACTGTCTTTTTCATTGCCTAGGCAATTTCTTAATTTAGATTGAACTATTCCAAATATCGAAAAAATTCTTTCTAAACCAGCTGTTGCAGCTACTGCACTGAATAACTCAAGGAATAACTGCTCACATAGTTGTAAGAAGAGTTCTTTTTTAAGTTCTGAGTCAGGAATTGCAACCGATCAGTGATGCCAACTTTTCAAATACGTTTTCCCTACACAAACCTGAAAAAATCCGCACATTGGGAAAAAAATCCCTACAAGTCATTTGAAATCAAATGAACCTTATTTTTTAACATAATTTACTTTTATTTCATCCATTTTTGTTTTTGTACTGTGCATTTTTTTGACTTGGATGGCCCTCATTCTAGTTATTTTTGCTCATCATCAGTATTATATTGGTTTTCTTCTGATGATATTTCTATAATTTTATTTCACAGTACAAACTGCAATGAAACCACAAACCACAATTATTCCACCATGTCCAAATGTCACTGTCATAAGAGTGTCATAAACAAGTCAAACCAAAGCCACAGATCATATAGTAATAACAATAACACAGAACTAATTAGTTCTGTGAGTAATAATCATGAAATGAAAATAATATATAGGAACTCAGTTCAGAGCAGTCGATTATTGACAGACTGTCTGCCTAGTGCCTTTTCAAATTCAAAGTTATCACGTTAGATAGTCGTTAGGGTTGTCCGGCCACCAGGACAGTCAGAAAATACCTACAATTCTGGATTATCCAAAAATCTGTCCCTACAACCCTACAAAACCTAAATTCATCAAATTATCCCTACATGTAGGGGATATCCCTACGGATTGGCATCACTGCAACCGATTTCCACCAAATCATTGTCAATTGTGTGTGTGATGTACCTAACAAGCAGTAAACAAGAACTGGGGATTCCCCGAGTTGTAAGTTATAACCACGAAACGCACTGTTGTCATGTATTCATTTTTAACGCAAAATATCAAGGATTTTTTGCTCTGGTATTTATTTCGTTAAGAGGAGAGATTCAACCAAATCGACATGCAGGCCTTCACTAGATGTTGCTATATGGGCTTATGAATGATTCAATTGAAAAACTGATTAAATCATCGTAAAGAAGAAGGTTGGGGCTAGGGCCTGGTTATCATACGGAGTCGAAACTCATTTATTTATAGAAGATACAGATTTTTGAAAAACGTAAACATTGAAATTTTTTTGTCTCAAATTGAAATATTTTCGATCTCAGTACAATTGTTGGAAATTCGGCAAGGTGTCACTGGAATATCAGCTCTTGAAATGTTTCCATTCGGACAGGAAGCAACAAAAACGATTATTCTGTCAACAAAATATCCATTCATCCCAGCTGATCTCGGTAAACTCGATTTCTTGAAAGAATGTAATGCAGGAAACTAGGATGTGGTAGTTCAGGCACTACCTGATAGATGGCAGTGTTCGAAATGACAGACTGCGGCAGAGAGGAATGGTGCATTGTATTGCAAGCAGATGGCGCTTAGGAGAGATGATGAATTCAAACCCGTTTACACCGTTGCCAATGTTATACATATTACTCGGACATATTATGAAATCTAGGCGACGTGATAATACAGAGGGTATTATTCAATTATCTGGGCATATTTCAAGGGGAGGTTCTCCGAGTGTTTGTAAGACGAACAAATCTAATACTAATATATAAAATTCTCCTGTCACGGTCACGGTCATAGTGGTCGAACTCCTCCGAAACGGCTCGACCGATTCGTATGAAATTTTTTGTGCGTATTCGGTAGGTATGAGAATCGGTCGTAATCTATTTTTTAAATAGAAAATACAAAATGGCGGATCCAATATGGCGACCGAGTATAGTTATCCGATTTCATTCAAAATTGGTACTCAGGGGTTTTCGGGGTCGGAGATTATGAATATTTCGTCAAATTTTGGAAATTCAAGATGGCGGATCCAATATGGCGGACGAGCTTTGTAATTATGGTCAGATTCCATCCAAAATTGGTATCTGGGGGTTTTCTAGGTCGTAGATTATGATTTCTTCATCGAAATAAGGAAATTCAAAATGGTGGATCCAATATGGCGGACGAGTTTTGTAATTATTTTTTTTATCGCTTGGAGCGCACGAAAGGAAATCCCTATAATGTTCAAAGAACATCGTGCGTTCCTAGGGAGGATAGGGACAGGAGGTAGGTATTGGAGTTTTTTTTTGAACTTCTGGAGATTATATGTTGTTGGGAATACTTCCTCGGGCACTGAATTCCAGAGCCTAGCCGTTCTATGGATGAAGGAGTTTTGATAAAGTGCTGTTCGACATCTTTCGAGGTTGACAACGAAAGGATGTGCTGACTGGGCTTGTCTACTTCGTCTGGTATTGCTAGTGGAGGGATGATAGCCATTTCCCGTGGAAGTATCGATAGAAAAGTGAAAGGTCGCCGACCTTTTACGGTGTTCCAATGATGTCAAAGAGTGAGTGAGTGTGGCGTCACCCACCAGGCGAATGGCTCTTCTCTGGATGGAATCTAAGAGCATCAGCGTATGTTTTGGTGCTGAACAGAACAGATTGGTCAGATATCATTCAAAATTGGTATCTGGTGGTTTTCGAGGTCAGGGATTATGATTTTTTATCAAAATTAGGAAATTCGAAATGGCGGATCCAATATGGCGGACGAGTTTTGTAATTATGGTCAGATTCTATTCAAAATTGGTATCTGGAGGTTTCAGAGGTCGTAGATAATTATGGATCATTTGTCAAAATGGGGAAATTCAAAATGGTGGATCCAATATGGTGGAAGAGTTTTTTAATTATTATGATCAGATTCTATGTAAAATTGGTATCGGGGGGTTTTCGGAGTCGAAAATAATGATCCTTTTTCATCAAAATTTTGAAATCCAAGATGGCAGATTCAATATGGCTGACGAGTTTTGTAACTTAATCCGATTCCATTCCAAATTTGTATATGGGGGATTTTGGGATGGGAGATTATGATTGTTCATCAAAATAAGGAAATTGAAGATGGAGGATGGCAACTGAGTTTTGTAGTTATGATCCGATTCTATTCAAAATTTGTATCTGGGTGTTTTCGGGGTCGGAGAAGAATTAGAAAACAAATGAATATAAGTATGTTGATAAATATTTAACATGATTTAACTAAAAAAATATTTTCTGGAAATAATTGTATACGTTTGCCGGGTATCAGCTATTGTTAATAAATATTAGTTTGAAAAACTAATGAAACACCTTTTTATAGATAGCCATACTAAAAAGAAGTGAGTAGAAAATGAAGAGTAGTTTGAAAAAATGAAGAGGTATAGAGAACCGAACTAAAAAGAACTAGAAAATAAATAGAGTAGTTTGAAACGGCCTAGAATTTGTCACTGAATTATAATTATATAAGTAGACCTGAAAATTTAAACATACAAATTCAGCAGAATTTCTTCAATTCTATTCATGAGATCGA